CCACAGAATGGCTTCCCTTTCTTCCACAATTCTTAACGATTCCCCCTGTAGAGGGACGTGCCCGACTTAAGCCCAGAGCTGTGGGCTGCTCTCCGCGCTGCCCCCCGCGGCCCGAGCTCTCGGCGGGCCTCTTTCTCGAGGGGGGCGAGGGGACCGAGCTCGGCCCTGAGCGCCCCGCGGCCGTTCCTCGCCGCCGCGCCGAGGGGGCGCCAGCCTGCCGCAGGGCGGCGCGGCACGTTTTTTGCTTTGCTCGTTTGCTTTGTTGTTGTGTTGTTTTTTTGTTTTTGTTGTTGTTTTGGTTGTTGTGTTTGTTATTGTTGTTGTTGTTGTTGCTGCTGTTCTTGTAGTAGAGTAGACTTCTCCCGCGAGTAGATCGCGCACGGACCATTCGTGCTTCTTCGGGCTAGCGGGCGAGGCACCGGGGGCTGCGACTGCTGTGCGTAGCTGGCCCACCAACGATGTGTGGAGCTGCTCGGCTGATGCCAAATCGTCAGACAATGATGCTACGGAACGCTGCTGCTCGGCGGAGTGGGGAGGAGGGGGGAGTGGGGGGATGCATGTCGGAGAAATATTAAATAAGGGCGGAGATGGCTCAGACTGCGAAGCGGGCTGCAGCGCGTTGAATCGCTCGTGCGCTCGCCGCGCGAGAGACGTTCACTGTGCGCGCGCGGCTGTGTATAGATCTACGGGTGACCCTTAAGAGTGGGATGAGGAGGTGGAGGTAGAGGTGAAGGAACGGAGCAGGCAGGTAAGACGTCTGAGGTGGGAGGGAGAAGGGGGAGATAACATTCTGAGGCGAATGTAACATTGGTCGTGGGACAGATCCAATCGAACTCCGAGAACGTCTCAATCTACTCTTCGTCCCTCCGAGAAATACGGATGTGCGCAAGCAAATATCATCTACTGGCCCTGTCCGGGCTGTCCGCCAAGTGACGGTACGAAGAGGATGGGGGAGGGAGGCAGGGTTGAGGAGGAGGAGGAGGAGGAGCAGGAGGAGGAGGAAGAGCAGGTGGAGCAGTTGGGGGCGTGGGGGTGATGATGAGGATGCTGATAAGGATGATATAAAAGAGACGGAGGGGTAGGAAGGGGAGGAGGATAGGGACGAGGGATGCAAAAGAAGCATGCGGGCGGGAGGAAACGAATGAGCGTCCTGCATGGCTCCCCACCTGGTCAGGAGCTGCCTAATCTTCGTCTTGGCAACCGGGTCCAGGTGGTCGATGTCATCTATCTTCTGCCTCCCCTGATTTCCCTCCCTCTCCTCCACCTCCTCCTCCTCCTTCTCCTTCTTTTCTCTCTGTCTCTTCCTCCTCCATCTCCACCTCCCCTCCTTTCTCTCCTCTTCTTCTTTCTCCTCCTCCTCTTCCTCTTCCTCTTTCTAACTCCTCGCTCCCCAGACGGCGCCCAGTGGGGCGTAATCCGATTCGGGCTCGGACTAATCCTGTTAGACGGCCGTGCCTGCAATGGGAACGCGGGATGGGAGCCGCCCGGGAGCCGTTTCATTAGAGAAAATACGAGGACAACTGGCCAATATATGCTGGTCTTCCCCGCTTTGCTACTCCCCTGGAATCCCTCCCTAGCAAGCTTCGCCCCACAAAGACGTCATCACTCATACCTCGCTCTTTCCGTTATCCGGGCCGGCACGGGAACGGAAAGAGCGCTGCAGAAACGTGCCCGAGATTGCTCATGGCACCGCTCGCTTTTGGGAGCCTTGGTGTTCAGAGATCTTTACGTTACCGATCGCTCTTTTAGTTGGCGTTTCTGGGCCGTCTTGGGGGCCCTTGTGGGGCCCAACATCTCCCACCCCGTATAGTTCGGGCGGGAATGCGGGATGCGAGCATCTCCCGCTCCGCCGCGAAGCTGACGCGAGCCCCCGAGGCTGCCTCGATGCCTGATGATGCCCCCCCCCCAGGCAGCCTCCGCACAGGCAGTGGGTGTAGGTCTAGGTCGGGCATGTCTTCCTCCTACAGGTGGCTTTTGGAGGACACATGGACTGTTCTCGATTGTTTACATTGTTTCTTCAATATTCGATTGTTTACATTGTTTCTTCAATATTGACTATTGTTTGACCATCCTTACCCAATGCTCAAAATCGTCTCCCAACTACTTCTTTTGACTATTTCCCAGTCTTCCTCCTGTAGAGGGACGTGCCCGACGAAAGCGTAGGTGGGCTGGCCGCGCCGAGCCTCGGGTGGCGGCCCACCCCCCCTGGCTCAGCTCGTGGCGAGGAGGCCCTGCCCTCCACGTCGTGCTTCCCCCCTCTGCTCGTCGCTTCCGGCCCTGCGCTCCAGCTTCTGGCCCTCTTCGGGGGCGCGCAGAGGCATGGATTGGCGATCCGTGGACTTGCTTGGCGCTCGGTCGCCACGTCCATTGGTCGGGGGAGGCGCCCTCCCCAAAGCGCAGCCTGTGCCGCCTCGTTCGGCGGCGGAGCTTCGCGATTCCCAAGATGGACACGGGACCCGTTGCCAATCCACGCCCCCTGGCTCCACGTTTGCGCTCGCCTGGCCTCCACGCGCCCAGGGCCAGCTCACGCTCGCAGTTCCCCCCCCCCCCCAAGAGGGGCACACCTCCTCCTCCTCCTCCTCCTCCTCCCTCCCCCCCCTCCTCCTCCCCACCCATCTCTTCTCTGCTCTCCTCCCTTTTTGCCTTCCCTCTTTGCTCCTTGCTCCTTGCTCATCCTGGCTCCTTGCTCCTCTCCTCTCCTATTCCCCCCTCTCCTCCCTCTTTCACTCCCCCTCCCCCTCCTCCTCCTCCTCCTCCTCCTCCTCCTCCTCCTCCTCCTCCTCCTCCTCCTCCTCCTCCTCCTCCTCCTCCTCCTCCTCCCCCCCAAGAGGGGCACACGCCGCCGATGGGAGCCAAGTGCTTTGCTGCGAGGGGGGGCGGGGACTCGACGTCTGGTGCAGCCCGACACGCCTCGGGCCGCCTCCGCGCCGCCGGGGGGCGAGGCCTTCTGTCGCGTACGGGGGGCTCCAGCGTTCGGGGCCCTCCTCTCTTCTGGAGAGCTGCTTGCTGTCCTCGCGCAGTCGGCCTTGCACTGCTGCAGATCTCCCTTCGGGTGTATGTGGGCTGCGTCGCGGTTGATGTGAAACACATCGCTCCCCCACGCTCCCTCTCCTCCTCCTCCTCCTCCTCCTCCTCCTCCTCCTCCTGCTCCTCCTCCTCCTCCTTCTTCTTCGCCTCGACCAGCTCCCTCGCCGACCAAAAACTGTTTTTCCCCTCCCGACCTCCCCTTTTTTCTCCAATCTGCTCCTTCTCCTTTTCCCCCCACCCGCTCCTGCTTCAACTCCTGCCCCACGTGCTCCACTTTCCCTCCCTCCCGCCTCCCTCCCCCTCTCGCTCTCGTTCCTCCTCCCCCTCCCGCCTCTTGCCGTCGTCCACGTCGTCGCGACTCAGCAGCCGCTTGAGCCGCAGAGAGCCCTCGACGGAGTCCTTCAGGTGCTCCTTGCGGATTTCGCCAGCGCGCTTGCTTGCAACACCCGACTCCATGTTTCGTGCCACGAGGCTTCGTTTGCAAAAACGCTGGGGCAGGCGTAATCGTGCCTCCTTGTTGCTTTTGATTGCCTTTCCGGTGCCACCTGTGCTGGACACCCACAGCCGTGCAGGGGATGGCATGCGATGGCGACTCGAACCCGAGTCCGAACATGAAGAAGACAACTGTCAGCACTCGGCCTGGAGCCCCAGACGGCACTCCTTCAATACATGTCTACCACGCGCGGGCCCCCCTTGGGGCCCACATGGCCAGCGCACCCAGCGACCAGCACAGGGACCCCGCCCAGGCCCTAAACAAGCCCCCCAACACTGGCCGGTGAGCCGCAGCTGCGCTTTCTCTGTGCGGCCCCCCCCCGTCGCCATCGCTTGTACAGGTCCCCTGCCTCGCCGCCGTCGGTTTTTCTGTGCGTTGCATCTATTGAATGTTTTTTCGCACAGTCTTAGCGTGTGAAACCATAATGCCCTCTCTCGATGGCCCTCTTGCCGTTTATTTAATTTTATTTATTTATTTTAAAATTTTTTATTTAAAAAATTATTTTTTATTTATATTTTATTTAATTTATTTTTAATTTTAATTAAAAAAATTTTAATATTTTATTATAAAAAGATATTTAAATAATTTTAAATTAAAAATTATATTATTTATATTTTCATTGAATTTTTATTAATATAATAAAAAGAAACATAGATTGCAACACCACGTCGTGCGATGTGACCTGGTGTGCTTGGCTCCTTTGGCCCTTGGGCTTCCACGACACTCGCCGTGGCCGACCGATCAGGCCGGCTGCTCCGGCTACTCTCTCGATGAGGGGCCAGAGATCTACTTCCGCCACCTTCCGCCAGACCTCCGCCGGCCAACACTGCCTTCCCTCCGCCACTCTCCGCGGGCCTTCCGCCGGCTTCCCTGCGAGGGCGAGCGGCCAACCCCTCGTCCTGACCTCCGACGTCGTCCGACACCCGCGACGCCGCGAGCAAAGAAACACACCACGCTCGGCACCCTCGGCCCCGTCCTCGCACGTGCTCTGCCGAGCAGCATCGGCCCGCGTGGCCCTCGGGGCCCGCAGCGGCGGCAGGGGCGTCCGCCGCCCGAATGTCAGGGCGCCGCCCCGGCGACGAGGGCCCCCCCTCTGGGTGACAGCCCGCCACGGCTCCTGCACCCCCACCTCGTCGAGCTCATCGTTCAAACCGCCGTCCGCCTCCGCGTCGCCCTCCGCGACTTCGGCTGGGGCCTCGTCGATGCCCTCGTCGAGGCCGTCGTCAGGGACCTCCTCCTCAGGCCGGAAGGGTCCTCCTCCTGCTCCTCCTCCTCCTCCTCCTCCTCCTCAAAGCTGCGCCTGAAGCACTGAGCATGTTTTTGGTTGGTAAGATCTGGGACGACCGCCATGGGCAACAAAAGCCCCCCCCAGACCATCTCAAAACAGCACACACACAAGAACAAGCATAAACACAAGCACACAAACACAAGCACACCCACAAGCACAAGCAACAACACAACCACAAGCACAAGCACAAGCACACACAAACACAAGCACAAGCACAACCGATACAACATACACAAGCACAACCACAACCACCGACACAAACACAACCACAACCACGCACAAACACAAGCACAAACACAATCACATACATAAGCACAAACACAGCCACAACCACAGCCACAACCACAAACACACATACGTACACACACCAACACTAACACGAGCACGACCACCGACACGAACACAAGCTCAAACACAAGCTCAAACACAAACACACATCACACACGCACACATACACACAGAGACACAACCACAAACACAACCAGAGCCACGTGCAGAAGTGCAAGCACAAACACACACAACACACAAACACAAACACAAACACACACAACCACAACCACAACCACAACCACAACCACAAACACAAACACAAAAACACACACACACACCGGCCACGACAAAACACACAACAACTCGAGCGCGTCCACATATCGCAAGAGCACCTCGAGGCAGAAGGTGCGGCTCGGCACCCGCTCCCGCTCCTCGCCCTGGCCCTCGCCCCGCCCTCCCTGCCCTCGCCGCGCTTGCGCCAGGGCATGGCGTTTGGACAAAACTGGCGGTGTTTCTGGGATGCGGGCTCCTCCTCCTCCTCCTCCTCCTTCTCCTCCTCCTCCTCCTCCTCCTCCTTCCTCCTCCTCCTCCTCCTCTCTCCTCCTCCTTCCTCCTCCTACCCCTCCCTCCTCCTCCTCCTCCTCCTCCTCCTCCTCCTCCTCCTCCTCCTCCTCCTCCTCCTCCTCCTGGGCCGCTCCCTTTCTGCCCAGTGCCCCGCCCGGCGGATCCTCGCCGACCGGGACGTCCGCGCCATCAAAGACCGCCTCCTGCCGGGGTCGTTGTCGTCGCCGCCACCGCCGCCGTCGCCGCCGCCGCCGTCGCCGTCGTCGCCCTCGCGGAGACGGGGCAGGAGGAAGAGGAGAGGGAGAAGGAAGAGGAGGAGGAGGAGGCGGAGGCGGAGGAGGAGGAGGAGGAGGAGGAGGAGGAGGAGACGGAAGATAGAAGGAGGAGGAGGAGGTGGGAGGAGGGACGAGGGAGGAGGAGGAGGGTAAGAGGAGGAGGAGGAGGAGGAGGGAAAGAGGAGGGAGGAGGAGGAGGAGGAGGAGGACCGCGACCCCCACCCGGCCAACCCCCCCCCCCACGCCCCCCCCCCCCCCCCCCCCCCCCCCCCCCCCTTGAGAGGAGGAGGAGGAGGAGGAAGGCCGTTCGTGGGAACTCTACCCCTCGCACTCGCCACCGGCGCCGCACCCCGCCCGCCCGCGCGGTTGCCCTCGGGGGGGCTGGCCTCAGCGCGCCGCCGTGCCATCGGAGGCGGGCGGCGCACAAGCCACGAGAAAGTGATCAATCAAGACTACGATTAAGTCGGGCATGTCCCTCTACAGGAGGAACATTCAAAAAAATAGGCAAAAATAATATGGGGACGATCGACTTTTCACTACTTTCTTTTCTTTTTGTTTGATTTGTTTGAATATAGTGTGAATAGTTTTTGTTTGTCCAGAATCCGCCTGTAGGGGGACATGCCTGACCTGAGACTACAACACCACCCTCTGGAGGTTGAACATCCGGGAGAGGGTGCTTAATCGCGATTGCAACCACATCAACCACCAATTGTTGAATCACAGGGCGGACATCTTCAACACTTGCTAATGGCTACGGGACCTACCCACCTGGGTGGAGACCTACTGGCAAGTATGCCGAGACCATACACGCATAGAGGAGCACGGGCGCGAACAGACGCGGCCCGAAAACGAGTGGGGTACAACGTCCGACATGGGTTACAACCTCGATCCGACGATATCATTAGCATTGCCACGGCCGCCCTCGCGAGGGCGTCCAGCTACGACAGCATGTGCGACACAAAGCGCGACAACACGTACGACACCGAGTACCACAAGAGTGTAATCATAGAAGTACCCTCCCTTGGCGCAGACGGGCCCCCAGACGACACAGCCATGCAGCACTGCGATGGCCACCTCTGCTGCGCGGGACCCCCCAGGCCTACGGCCACGCAGGCTACGGCGGCTGCTACCTGGACGACTGCTACCACGGCCACAGCTTCCACGACAGCAGTGACGTCGGGTACCTTGCACGCTGCGACTTGGCAGCCGACGACCCCGATCCGGACCTCGGGGACCACGCGGTGAACGTACCCTCGGGGACCCAGCTGACGTGCTCCTCCACCACTGCTGGGCCGCTGGGGTGCTTGAGCTGCCCCCGCGGACACCTCACCCCGAGGTAGACCCGGGCACATAAGCCCCAGAACAGCAAACATCGGGATGGGTATCCCCCCACGCGGCGGCACCGCACACCTGGCCCTGCGGGCTGCGTCGCCAAGGATGCCCTCATCGCCGCCACGGCAGCACTCGACCGAACTGCGAGGACCACTCGCCTAGCTGCGAGGGCCACCAGCTGAGCTTCGACGGCAAAGAGAAGAGCTTAGCAGCTGAGTCTCGATGGCCACCAGCAGAGCTTCAACGGCAAGAAACGGAGCCTCAAGACCCAACAGCTGCATTTCGAGGGCCACGGACAGAGTGCTACGACGGCAAGAGGCGGAGCTTAGAGGGCCACCGGCTCAGCTTCAAGAGCCACCAGCTGAGCTTGGCGAGCCACGCGCAGAGCTACGAAACCACAGGCTGAGCTTCCAGCACCACGCGCAGGAGCTACGAGGGCCACAAGCAGGCCTATGAGTACCACCAGCCGAGCCACGAGGACGACACGCAGAGCTTCGAGGACCACCGGCTGAGCTACGAGAGCTGCCAACCGAACTACGAGAGCCACCGGCACCGGCATCCATGCCACCTGGCTGGAGCATCTACCTCGACCAGCAGGGACGGTGCTACTACTAGAAGAATAAAAACAACGATATAAACATAAACTTTTGGCGCTGGGCGCGGATTTCTTGGGTCCGCGTTGCCAGGGGCGGCGCCGGAGGCGCCGAGACTTGCCATCGCTAGGACGTCCATTACCCGTGCATTTTTCGGTTTCGTGCGTGTTTTTGTTTAGCCAGGTGGTCCAGGATGCTCATCGATGGTCCCCACCGAGACAGCACGCACACGTTCGAGCGATGCCGAGGAGACGGATGGGGAGGCTAACCTGCTGCTCCGCCACGCTGCAGGGCACGGCGTGCCGGGACGAGGGGGGAAGAGGGGATAGAGGGGGGGGAGGGGGGAGGAGGGATATCCAGCGACAGGGGCGAGGGGGGAGAGGGGGGGGGGGGGGGCGGGGGAGAGGGGGGGGGGAGGGAAAGGAGGAGGAGGGGGCGATGACAAGCTAGGGTGCGCTCGCGTCAAGTCTGACGTCCCCCTCCTCCCACATCCCTTAACCATGGCGCTGATTTTCTCTATCCGCGGGACGGCGTGTGTGCGGACCTGTGGTCCGCAGCGCCGCGTGCCGTAGTGCGGTGGTTGGCTGCCGCGTGCGCGTCGTGCTGTGCGTGCGTGCGAGGTTGCGTGCGTTGTGTCCGTGGTTGTGGTGGTGGTGGTGGTGGTGGTTTGGTGCTGGTGCTGGTGGTGTGGTGGTGGTGGTGGTGGTGGTGGTGGTGGTGGTGGGGTGGTGGTGGTGGTGGTGGTGGTGGTGGTGCGGCGCGGTGGTGGCGGGCGGATGGGCGCGCGAGAAAGAGGCCCGCGCTGGGGCGAGAACGCCATCCTGAACGACGGAGGCCAAACACCGATCCGAAAATGAGGCCCACGCTGCAGCGGGAGCACAATTCGGAACGATTCAGGAGCAGAAAAGAGGCCGGCGCCCCAGCGAGAGCAGCATTTTTAAAAAACGCAGGCGAAAAGCCAACTCCCGGGAATCCTGTGTGTAAACAAACAGTACGCGGGGGGGGGTCTAATACTTTCAGGCCGCCATCGGGGGCAGAGGGAGAGTAGTATTCATATTGAGCAATTGTGGAGGGATGGGGACGCCAGGGGGGAGGGGGCAAGAGGCGAAGGGGAGGAGGGAGAGCCAGCGACATCCGCGGCCCTCCGCGCCCTCCGCCGCCGTCGTCGTCGCCGCCGCCGCGGTCGCCGTCGCCGCCGCCTTCTCGCCGCCGCGGTCCTCGCCCTCCGCCGCGCCCTCCGCGCCCATGGCGTCGGCGGCGGAGCCCCTCGCTTGGCGGGCCCAGGGCATGGCGGCGCCTGCTTCGAAAGGGTCGCTCGGATGGGCCGCTCGGGCCGGGAGCGGCGGCGGTGGCGGGGCTCCGCGGCTCCACGGAGGCCCTGCCCTGGGCTTTCTCGGGCCGGGCTGGTTTTTCGAATTCTGGCGGGGCTCCGCGGCTCCACGGAGGCCCTGCCCTGGGCTTTCTCGGGCCGGGCTGGTTTTTCGAATTCTCGCGCTCGGGGCCGTGCAGAGTGGAGCTGGGACAGAGGCCTCACCCTGGGGAGGGGGTTGAGACCCCGGGCCCCGCAGACTGAACAACTCACTCGATGTTGATGCTGACGATGGTGATGGTGATGATGCTGATGATGATGACGATGATAAGGCTGCTGCTGATAATGCTGATGATGCTGATGACGATGCTGATGATGCTGATGATGATGCAGATGATGCTGCTGATGCTGCTGCTGATGATTATGATGTTGATGCTGATTATGATGATGATCATTATGGGGATGAGGAGGAGGATTAGGATGATGATAAGGGGAGGGGAAGGAAGAGGGAAGATGATACAGGTGTGGGGGGTGGCGGGGGGAGGGGTGATCAGGAGGACGAGTAGTTGGACAAGGAGGGGGAGTAGTAGTAGTAGTAGTAGTAGTAGTAGTAGTAGTAGGAGGAGGAGGAGGAGGAGGAGGAGGAGGAGGAGGAGGTGGATGATGATGATGCTGGTGATGGTGATTATGATGATGCTCATGATGATGATGACGATGATGACGATGATGACGATGCTAATGATGATGATGCTGAGGATGATGCTGATGATGGTGATGATGATGAGGAGGGGGACGCTGATGCGGAGGGTGATGACGATGATGATGATACTGCTGATGCTGATGATGATGATGCTGATGATGATGATGATGATGATGATGATGATAATGCTGATTTTGCTGATGATGCCGCTGATGATTTTGAGGAATAAAATGAAAGTCATACTGAAACATCGCCATCTTGCCAGCACAATGTGGGCGTGTTGGAACGCCAAGTGCTTTCTTGCAGGGCTTCTGTGGGTTTTGTGCGCCCCCCTCTTGCCACACCCGAATGCGCGCATCCCCCTCCCCTGCCGAGGCTTCCTGGCCACTGGCAGGGTGGCGGAATTTGCCACAGGCACTTAGAGATGTAAGGACACATGGGGAGGCCAGTCCACAAGAAACCTTCCACAAGAAACCCAGACCTGAGACCCCAGGACGTCCATCGATTTTTGGTGTGGGAACGTCACACGAACCACAGAAAAACCATCGAAACCCAAGTATCCCCGGGCACCCTGGTGGAAAGCTTTCTTGGCATGAGCTTCCACTGTAAAAATGAGAAGTTAGCGGTGGCGAAACCAGCAACGACGCCGGCGCAAGTGACCAGAGCAGCGGCCGTGGCGGTGGCGGCGAACGTCTGCGACGATGACGATGGCCGGCCACGCCTCCGCCACCTCCTCCTCCTGCCCCCCCCCTCCTCCTCTTCGGTTTTCGACAGTTTATGGAGGAGGCAGTCTCGGACAAGCAGGGAGGAGGGGGATGGAGGGAGGGGGGGAGGGAGGGTGGAGGAGGAACATGCGGACGCCTCCATCCTCCTCCCACCTCCCTCCCTGCCTCCTTCCTCGCACGCAGCGTCACAGCGCGCACCGCTCGGGCCTGGTAGTGGTACCCACCTTGTCCGTCGCCATGGACCTGAGCGGGAGGACGAGGATGGGGTGACTTTCTGTTCTTCGCCTTTGCGGGCCTTTGGGCGGGCCCTTGTCGCCACGGCTGGATTCTCTCAGACATTTTGGTCTGCATGTGGCCCGGGGCAAGCACAAGGGCCGAATTGAGGAGGGGGAGGAGCAATAGAAGGAGGAGGAGGAGGAGGACGAGGAGGAGGAGGAGGAGGAGGAGGAGGAGGAGGTGAAGGAGGAGGACGACGAGGACGAGCAGGAGGAGGTAAGGTGAGGCAAGGGAAGGTAAGGTAAGGCGCTTGGGGAGAGGCCCCGCGGCGGCAGTTGCCCCTCGGGCCCTTCTGGCCTCCCTGCGAAGCGACGCGTGGAACAGGGCCTCGAATCGACCACACATCGCGATCCCGAACCCTGCCAAACACGACGCCGTGGGCACACGGCCTCCCTCCTTCCCCGCCCTCTCTCCCACCCCCTATCGAGGCCAGGCTGACAGGGTGGCCCCCCTGCGAGGGGGCGAAGCGCTCGTCCTGAATTAATGAAAAACGGGGGAGAAGGGGCTGGCGAGGTCAGCTGTCGCGATGCCCCCCCCCGAGAAGGCCTGTCGACACGAAACGTGACGAGCGCCGACCCGCCCTCTCCATTCCCCCTCCTCGTCTGCAGGCGATGGAAAATGCTCGCGCGAAAAAACGGCGTCGAGCTTCTCTCTTGGTGTTTGATATTTCAATTTGCAGGGCAACAGTTATGTGTAAAAGGGGCAGGTTATGGTATCTGTTTCAATGTGTAGCAACCTCCAAGCATTTGAACAACCCCAATGTCCCTCAACATCATAATTGCGTCGCGCACTTCCTTTACTTCGCAAGGGAACTCCACGCTGGACAAAACTGCTTCCAATCGCTAACGCATTTCCTGGGGCCAGAACGTTATATACCCCGTCAGTAATATGTGGTATCGCTTCTGGTTCGCCGGTCACCTCTGCAGCGGACGGGGATGCGAACCAGGTCCCATTCATTCTCTTCCTTGGACGCTAGTTCGCCTTTCAACAACAATAACTGAACGGCAACACTGATATCCCACTGCGTCCAACCTCCGTTTGTCTCTTCTAACAACTGATATGTGTCGAAATCTGCCGGTTCCCCGTACTCGTCGATTTACTTCTGTGCAAACTCCAAAATGTCTGATTACAGTTCAGATGGCCGGCCCATGTCTGCATTCATGCTGTCATCATGATCCTTGCCAAGCGCCTGACTACCTGCTTTGTTTGAAACATCGGGCTGTGTTGTGCTGCTGTCCTCACTGCGTTGTGTTTCCATTTCTGAAGCTGCCGTTTGAACGCCCGTATCTTCAACAGTACCACATGCTTGCGAAGCCGTTCGGGGGCTGGGGATGGGGTTCTCCTCCATCCAAAATTGCGGCTCTGGACCAGTAGAACGGAGTGCCACCCCCCTTTCCCAGTCCCCTCAGCTGCCAAATTCATTTGGCCATCATTCACCAGCGGCTCGCCCTGTCCATCGCCCTCGCACTCTGCGACGATCACCTCGTGCGGTGGCAGCCCTGGCAGAGGTGCAAATTCGAAGTTTTTTAAACATCTCAACTTCACGACTTGACTTTTCCTGGCGTGTGTTCGTCGTGTTCTCTCCCTCCTCTTCATGCTCAATGTCTTCCCGGCGATCTCTCACCTCAGCTCGGCCTTACAATCATAGGTCGCACAATCTTCGAAAGACGGCGGCACAATAGACGGCATGAACGAGTGGGGAAACAGCTAATACAGTACGCGGAAGATGTGTTCGGTTACGGATCCGCCTCCTGGCCCTCTCCCCCCCTGGCCGCGGGAAGTCTGTGAGCCCTGGACCAGTCGGAGGTGCGTTTGTGAGTGTGGCTCGGTCGGAAGACCTTCGGAGCCCCTCACGCCGACTAGGAGGAGGAGGAGGAGGAGGAGGAGGAGGAGGAGGAGGAGGAGGAGGAGGAGGAGGAGGAAGAGCAGGGGGAGGAGATGGAGAAAGAAAAAGGAAGAGGATGCGAATCTGAATGCCTCTTGCTTGAACTTCTTTTACCTCTTGCGCTGCATTCAGCGCTTCCGTTTCTGGAGCCGCGCAATGACGTTCTCGCCCGTCCGGTGCTGGCTCTGACCCAGCGTGCCCCTTCAATGACCTGCTCGAGTCGCTTCCCGTGGACCTGGGACTCCTCACCATCGTCGCACTCTGCTTGGCGGCACGGCTTCTGCTATGTTTGGGTCGGGCCTGTCCCCCTACGGGGGAGTTCTGGGCGAGAACTAAAACAGACTCAAAAAACGTATCCCGAAGATGCCCCCCCAAAATCCCCCCAAAATCGTCCCCAGACTACTTTGACTACTTTTGAATATCCCCCCTGTAGAGGAACCCGCCCGACCTGATGCTGTGTGCAGGGCGCGCCTCGCCCATCTCCGAGGCCGCGCCGGCGCGGCTCCAGCGCCCCAGGGCCCAGCCTCCGAGAGACACGCGTCGGGCCGCAGACCGCCGACGCCAACGCCGGCGCCCGAGCGGAGGGCTGCCCGCCGCCGGGTCAAGCCGCCGCTCGCGCGCACTCGCCGCAGCTGGAACATGGCCTCCCTCTCTAGGGGGCAAACAAACCTGCCTCGCTTTTGACCACCCTCGCTTCCAAGAGATACCAAGCGATGCCAAACCACGGCCTGTACTGGTCAGGCCGCTTGACGAGGAGGCGCGTGGCGTGACTTGGTTTTGCCTGGAAGCGAAAGCGGGGTAGGTAATTCACGCTCTGACTCTCTGCACCCTCTCTCAGAGAGCAGAAAGTCCACCCCCATAATAGGCACCGCGACACGCGAAGCCGTTCAGTAAACGCGCCCACGGAAGGAATCGAACAAGGCAGGGCTGTTTAGCAAACGCCCAGGGCTGTTTAGTAAGCGCGACTTGTCCGGTCTGGGTGGTTCTTCCTCCCTTGACTTTCTTCCCATGAAGCGAAGGAGGCCTCCTCGTCCCTTTCTGCCCGTCAGACGAGCTGCTGCCTCGCGGCAGCACCCGCACGGGGCAGCAAACTACGACCACCGGGGAAGGGGGAGGAAGTTCTGAGACACGGCAAGGCTCAGGTCGCGATGTGACGTCGGCGTTGGTATTCTGACGCCGCGCGGACCGTTCGCCCCTGACCTGTCGCGGCGTTCCGATGTTTCGCGCAGTCTGTGCGATGTTGCCCGATGCTGGGCCACTGAGAGGTCGGGCATGTCCTCCTACAGGCGGTCTTTTGGAAGGAGAAAAATAATCCAAACATAATCAAGCATATCCCAAACTAGTAGAACAATCGTTCCCATACTATTTTGTGACTATCTTTGAATATTCCTCCTGCAGAGGGACGTCCCCGACTGGCCATCGCTCGGACGTCCA